GTCTTTCTGTTTTTCCAAAGCAATGTGTTCACCTGTTAGCTAAATTGCTTGTAAAGAAAGCGTATTTCAGAGGTTCAGTAAAAGCAGTCCTAGTTCTTTAAGGAATAGTTGTAAATGTACATTCCATCCTTGGAAATTGGGCACGAGCATGGTGATCTCATCAAGCCGGTACACATGAACCAGGAAGTAGAATGCTGGTAAAATAAACAAGCTCAGCGGAGAGAAACAAAATAGCTCATTGAAGAGAAAAAGATAAACATGATTTTGTAGTTTTCATTTTCAAATGGCCATGGGCAGCAGCATTTCCGTGTTGTAGTAATATTGTCTGTCTCATTTTTTCATAAAGTAAAATTTTTCTTGGTATATGGGGAAGGTAGTATGTTTGGAGAGTTTGGAGAGTTTATCCTCTGTGTCCCTGATTTTCACTTCCCAGATTTAAGAATTAAAAATAAATTCAGGAAGAATAAATACACTGGGAGTTACCATCTGTGCAGACTTTATATTATTTAATCAATGGTAAACAGTGTAATTTCATATCACACTGGAATTATAATTGTAACTTGAAGAACTAGGATTTTGCCTTTCTATTTTTATAAATTTAATTATGTGAAATGGCATCCTGCCACTCCTGTCAGAGAAGCCATAAGGACCTAAACATTTGTAGACAATCACAAGATATGATATAACCACTCTGCTGGACTAAGAAAGTTGTAGATCCGGTCCGGGTATGGAAGGAAGACTTTTTGGTGTCTCTGTGGAACAGATCACATGACATGCTGAAGTGGATCATTTAAATATCTCTTTTAAAAGTTTTAAAAAGGAAGATAAAAGCTAATGCAAACTTAATATAAAGTAAGGAAGGGAAAAAAAAGAAATCGAAGAGAAAGCTAAAAGTGCAAGAAAGGAAAAAAAATAGAAAAGAAAGAAAAAGATACAAAGAAGTGGCTTCCTGTCTTCTTTAAGCGGTTATAAGTACAATTACCTCTTTCTCTAAAGTTACAACATGTCTCTCTTCTTTCTATAATCTATTCTGTCTAATCATCAAAACCATAAATCATAAGTTCATTTTTTTCTGTTTTCCGCAAAAAGTCCATAAGAGGTTTCCAGTCAGCAATAAATGTATATATTGTCTTTTCTCTAATCAAAGAAGTCACTTTGGCCATCTCAGTGAGTTCCGTCATCTTCATCAATTCCTTCATTGTTGGTATTGCCGAATCTTTCCATCTTAGTGCATACAATGATCTTGCTGCAGTTATATACAAAAACAAAGTTCTATAACTTTTTTCCAACTATTTGTCCATCAGTCCAAAAAGAAAGATTCTGATCTCAATTGTATATTAATCTTTAAAATCCTAGAAAAAAAAATTCTAGCTTTTTTACATGTCCATCAAGCATGATAAAATGTCCTTTCTTGTTCACATTTCCAACATAAATTTGAAGTGCCTTTATACATTCTAAACAATTTCTCTGGTGACATATACCAACGGTACATCATTTTATAAAAATATCTTTAAGATTATATTTCAATCCTTTCAACCACATATTTTCCCATTGTTCCACCTGTATATTATAACCAAATTTTTTAGTCCACTTTATCATACATTCTTTCACTTGTTTTTCTTCTGTTTCTAATTTCAATAGAAGTTTATACATTTTAGCAATTGCATGTTCATCAGTCGTATATAATTCCATTTCAAACTCAGTCTTAAATGTTCAAAGCCATAAACTCTTTCGTCTAATTTAAATCTTTCTAATAACTGTAAATAAGAAAACTAGTGGCAACTATGTCTCTCTGCCACCAGTTCTTCTCTTGGTTTTATTTTGTATTCCCCTTGACAAAACTCTAATATCTCATGAGAAGTTAGCCACCTGTGTTTGTCTATTATTTCTTGTCTATAAAACGCTTCTTGTGCTGAAAGTCACAAAGATATTTTCAGGCACAAACTGGATTTGTATCTATTCCATATTCTCAATATGGCATGTCTAACATAATGATTTTTGAAATCCACATTAACCTTGACTTTGTTGTACCACAGATACCCATGTCACCCAAATCTCAGGTCATGTTCTTCTAACTCCAAAAGTCTTCTATTTCTCAGCAGCACTCACTCTTTCATCCAAACCAAACAGCAAGCTGCAAAATACAATTTCAAATCAAGTAACCCTAATCCTTCTCTTTCCTTTGCATCCTGTAACACCTTATATTTAACTCGTTTTTTCCCCTTGCTACATCCTTCTGCCACTGTTTAAATGGTGCATCAAAACGGGTATTGTCTGAGGTCATTTATATATCTTGTGTGAAATGCAAACCTGGGTAGGATCAGGTCTCAAATACCCTGGGGGTATTGTTATGTACTTACCCTTGTGTTGTCCAGAACCTGAAGAGAGGCTTAGTGTTCTCCTCTAACTTGTGGATAGAGAGATGCGGGCCTAGAGTTGTCCCACAAAAACAGTTCCTCACTTTCTGTTGCTCAAATATTATTTTGAAATCTTGCATTCTTGAAATAATTTTGAGTTTTTGAAAGGTATAGTCTCAACATAAATTAGAGAACTGTGGGTATTTGCTGTTTAAGAACTAACTTTCTTTCTTCATCCCTAGGTAGATCCAGTTTGTTAAGAAGGAGAAGGCACTGTTAAGTTCAAAAGGGCAGAATAGGAGAACCAGCAGTTTCTGATATTTCAATGGATGATTTATGGCATGATACCTGTGACTTTATTGTCTCTGACAGTACAGTAAAATCACCTTCAAATTGGCTTCCATTCCTGGTATCTTAATTAACAACCCATATCCTTTTCTTCAGAACAATATGAAAGCGATTTGCCATTGCCTACATCTGGGATGTTTTTCAACTTCCCAGTCTGGTCTACAGTCCTGGTATTTCCTGGTAGCTTCCCATCCAGGTAACTTGATCCTATTCTACCGAACCTCTGAGGCCAGATGAAGTCAGCGAACACAGCCACCTGCTGGGGCATTTATGACAGACAATAATGTAATTGGTAGTTTGCTGTATGGGGCAGTACCATTTTATTCTGATTTAGACCTAGGAACATGTTTGGAGCCACTGCTGTTCTTGTCGCTTATAAAGACATTAAAGTATCTCCAGAGATATTTCATGTGTGATATTAAATAGCTCCATATTTAACCCTTTCCAGTTTTAGAATTTTTGAAACCACCAATTAAATGCAAAAATTTGACTGTGCTATAGATATATATCATGCTTACCCAGAAATAACCCCATGAATTTAATCATACTTACTCCTAATTAAGCATACTCAGGTGTAACCTTTAAATGTAATCTGATAATATGGGCTGATGCACTTGTAATTACAATATAAATACAACTAGCTTTAGGAAAAAAATATGCAGTTTTCAGCGGTGCCTCCTTTGGTATTTTTTAATGTCTTGCTTCTGGGTGTCCTAGAATCATCTAATAAGCCACTTGCCAGAGGGGTAAACAGGATGCTGGATTATAGTGACTTCTGGTCTGAGATAGCAAAAGTCATCTTGTGCTTATGTGCGGCCTGGATATTTTTCCCCAGAAATGAAGGCAAAGGAACAAGACAGAGTGAACATTGCTTGTCATTTTAATCTTACTTGTCTATGTTTCTACTTAGGAGATCTATGCAAAAACAACTTGTGTATTATTTCTGAATCTGGAACCATTGGTGTAAATTGGTTGTGTTTTTAGATATGTCTGCCCCCATTTGCTGTTTAGATATGCAGTAGGAATCAAGTTTGCATAGGTATCCAAATACGCTGAAGGCAATTCAGGAAAGGTAGATATCTCCATATCTGTTTGTGCATCTGATTTATCTTTCCTCCCTGATTTGGAATGTGACCATGCTTAGAAACCTGCCTTCTGGGTACAGATGTCCTTGGCCATGGATGCAATATGCCATGGTCAGTTTTGTTGGGGGTGGAGAGCATAATGGAATTTATGAGTACTAACCATGTTTGTAAATTTTGTCTTGATTTTAATTGTCTTGTTTTTATTCTTACATTTAAAAAAATATATTTTATTGCTGTAGGCTGCCTTGAAAGTTGTATGGGCAGATAGGCACATATAAATAATACTCTCCACCCAATCCTTTCCTAAATGAATTTCACTTGTGGTTTTGGAGCTTAGTTGGGAACAAAACATTTAAAAGTGACTGCAGGAGAAATTGGTGAATAGGGAAAGGATTAAGAAACTCACCTTTCCATGTCTCCTACACATAGCCTTTCATTGACATAACAGAAGGGAAAGGGTGGACTGTAGACCCTTTGTAAGAGCAAATACCATTTTGGGAGATAACATTCCTGCCAAAAGGTTTGGTTTGCAATCAGGCATTCTTATTGATCTGCCACTGTCAGTAGTTGACTTGAAGCACTTTTTCCAGTTGAACCATTTGCCATACTGAGGTAGAGCAACTGGATCTGGGCTACAGAAATCCAGATAATCATTAGATATCAACAAAGAGATACAGAATGCTCTAATTCTTTGCTGCAATTTAGTGGTCATCTGCATTTTTGCAGCCCAGATTTGGTAGGTGTAGAATGAGTTATTTGGTCCCACTTGCCTAGGTTTCCTGGTATTCTTTTGCTTCAGTTATTGTAAAGTCTTGTATTTGGGGCCTTCTTTAAAAATAGTTGAATGGGAAAATGCTATTGGTCAAAATTAGAACTGCTAGCTTATCAGCTGGAATAGGGCTGCCTGTGACTTGTCAGCTGTTCTGTTTGGCTTGAGATCAGGCTGCCTGAAAGCAGCTTTCTTCCATCAGTTTATAAGAGATTGTAAGGTCTTCCCTGGAGTCTCTGTTCCGGAACCCCCCTCTGTTTTGAAGTAAAGTGGATAATTATGAAAATGTGTGCACTTTGAAAATGATTCTGAAGAAATGTTTTGGACCTCCTATGAGCAGAATACATCTCTGTTTATCATTAAAGCTGTTCTACTTTTTTTTCCCCCAGGCATCTGTGTGAGCTTGAAAAAAAACCCTGCTGCTTCAAAAGTTGAATCATTAAAGTTAATGCGATGTTTAAAGCAGTTGCAATTTTTATCCCAAGTGTGCTTTACAGTGTGGGCTACTTTAATGAATAACAGGGAGGTATGTTCATGCTCAGTGTCTGAAGGACTTCTCTTTTTTAAACAAAATTTTTGAAGCTGTAATAATAGCTGTAATAATTATGAAGGAGAGAGATTTTTAAGTTGGAACAACCCGGTTTCAGAATAGTTTCTAGAGAATCTTGTTTGATATCATTCTAGAGGGCTTCCCAGGGAAACATTTTTTTTCTATATACTGAGATCTGTTTGTTGAACTTTATGCTTTTAATTTCTATTGCCTTTGACTATATTTTTATTTAGGATTTTATGTATGTGTAGTGGAAGCTGCCCAGAAACTTTGTTATGGGATGATGTAACTAGTGTCATAAATAAATAATCAAATTTATTGGGAAGCTAAATAGAATTCTATTGGATCTGGGCTGCTTCCAGATGAAGGCTCCTATCATTACCAAGTTGTAGCTTTTACCTGGAGGATAGTCAAGACTGTAATGGCCTCTCCTTGTTATAGCTGGTATGCCTTTCTTCTTGGTACCAATCTGCTGTATTTCATTCAGAGGAATCTGCAGGATCTGATGCTTTCAATAAAATGATGCAAGCAGCATTGTGCTGTCATGATGCAAGCTCCACCCTTTTTGTATGTGCATGTGATGTCACAATATGCAAACAAAAGGGGGTGGGATTGAGTCTTGAGGGTACAATGCTGCTTTCGTCATTTGCTTCCCTGAGATCTCTTTGAATGCCTCTGGTTTCATCCACAGTGGTGGATCAGAAATGATAGGAGGTTATGGTTTGAAAGAATATACTGTAATCGCTCTCCTCTCTAAACTCTCCTCCTCCCATCACTCTCTGAAAAGGAACTCTCACATAGGCATAATTTTCATTCTCTTGATATGAGCAAAGGTGATCTCTCCCCCTTTCCCCAGGAAGAAGGAGGAATGTTTATCCATTTCCATTCTTACTGGCTTTTTTGCTCCCAGCAGTGAAACACCGTAGAGCCTTGGTGCTCTAATGTAAAATTAGAAATTATGAAATCAGGCTACTTCAGTAAAGTTTTAATTTCTTTTTCAGAAAAGCAAATATTGAATCAGAGGACCTTGTGAAAGACCATGAGCTATTGCTTTTGCTAGGCAGTCTACTGTGATAATTCTTCAGGTAAGACCAAAGTGTTTATTACTGGAGGAAGTGTTGGTCTCAAATTATGAAATTTCTGAAAAAAGAATGAAAGGGTAGACAGATCTCAGCTTCAAGAAATACTACGTTATGCATGATTGCTTTGAGATTCAATATCATATTGATACTTCTCTTGAGCCTAAGGGCTATATTGAATGATAAATTTATCAAGACTGTACTTTCAAGATAGGCTCATTCACACATTCATGGTGGCATCCAACAGTGATAGGTCAGATGTGTGTATTGCTGCCTCATGAATTATTTGGCCTTCAGGTAGTGACTGATTCACTACATGCAGGATTTTTTTCCAGGCATTTTTCTGAATTCATGATTTGCCCAAAAATTGTGTGAATCACTCCCAGATAATCATGTCAGCTTTCACGTAGATGCAAAACCCTTGCTACCTACAAAATTTATTCTGTTAATCTAAAAAAAAAATATGGGTCAAATATTAGAATTAGTCAAATGTATTGTTAAATGCTCTCAAACAAGAGCATGCAGTGTGTTAGGCAATCTGTTAATTTGAAGAAATGAAATTAATATTAAGTTTATACATTTTTTATGCACACACATTTCACTTGGTGTTTGGAGTACTGTGTGTCATAAATCAAAATTAAATCACATTTTTTACTGTTTTAGAATCCTTACTGTAGAATTTTGCAAATTGATGTAACTACTTTTTTCATTCTCTTCCCTTTTCCTGAAGATTGCTTTGGAGAGGACAGTTTGGAGAAAGAAGCAGGTATGTTTAATTCTTTTCTCTCCCCAACTGCTTTTCTGCAGGATTCCACTTGTGTGCTCAAAACTATAAAAACACCACTTGGAATCTTGCAGGGATAAAAGCAGCTTGAAAAATGGTATAATTTGCAATACATATATGAGTTGATGGGGTCTGAATTAGACATCTTTTCACCCTTCCAGTGCTGCTACTTCTCTCTCCACATTGTCACATCACGAATTTTTATTTTGGTAGGTAGAGAAGTGGCAGTAATGTTGGGTTCCATACATCTTTGAATTTAATATGTAGTTTGACTCTTCAAAATGGAGTTACGCGAGTTGGCATCCCAATGTTCTCCTAGTATTTTGGATGACAATTCCTATAATCCCATTAGCCATACTGGCTGGAGCTGATGAAATTTGAAACATCCAGAGGGCATTGAATTGCCTGGCCCTGTAGTAGACTAATGGAACAGACAAGCTTAAGGGAGTTCCAACTCGTGAAGAATACATTAAATTTATTGGCATTTAAAATGTGAAATGGGAGGAACAGGGGAGAGCTGAATCAAGAGATAATTTCACACTTAAAGGCTCAATGATGCAATCATCCACTGTCTGCTAATTTAAGACATGATGATTAGATTATCAAACAACATTCAGTAACTTTATTTGTGTTAACAATCAGCTATTCCAAATCAGTTTGTTGAGGACTATAACAAAGTCTTGATATTTATATAGTCACTTTTTTGATGCTATATTTCTGAGCCTTTCCTTGAAGGTTTTGAGAATTAGAAACATAATGATATAAATGTTCAGTTTATTAGGAGCCTTGCATGTTTAGTACAGGAAGCTGTTTGTGCGCAAATCTATAGGGATAGGAGAAGGGCATCACATTTTTTCCCAATAAGATACTATTCTGACATTTTTTCAAGGGAAGATTTCCTTTTCTTGGCTGCTTTTGTCTTTCATTAATCTCATCAAAGTAGATAGTAGCAAGTCAATGAATGCTCTTTGCAATATGCACTAGGGTATGACTTCTATTCTTAGTCAACCAAGAATTGTTGCTGAACAACAGTTGTTGATGTGGAATTTCCGAGTAGGTTTTTTCATTAAAGGTCCATATCTGAATTAATTTTCAAAAATTAAGATGGATTCATAAAGGTTTTAAAAATAATTTTATTGTGCTAAATCAATTAACAGCTGAAAAATATAAATGCATGGTATAATATTAATGAGTAATACATTGAAACCTTGATTTAACTGACCTCCAAATAGTGGACTTTGGAGGTAATGGGTAGATGTCTGTTGTATCTGAAATAGTCCTGACCTAGCAGCTAAAATTATGTTAATTTTTAACCTTAAGTGATTTGTCATTTGTGTGTAATGACATCATTACACAAATGATGTAAATTGCTGCAGTGATATATTTTGTATTTAACAGACATTCAGAAGTAACTGACATTTGCTGTCCACAAATGTTTGTTAAAATGAGCTTCAAATTAAAAGAAGCAGTGCTAATTTCAAAATAATTATGCTTATAAAGAGAAAGAAAAGAAAAAGAAAAAATGCCCTGGAAAATGAAGTCATAAACATATCAACACCAGAAATATTGACTGTATTTCCAAAGTCGTCTTCCTTGGCATTGGTCAAATAGACAAAATAGAAAACTGATTCAGATATTAATGTTCACAGACAACACAACAACAGTGTATTGCTGTAAATCAGGTACAGATTTCTTTTTCTACTATTGTTTAATAATTCTTTTAACTAGCTCCTTGCCCAAAGAATCCACGGTTCTTGTTAAACCACATTAACAACACCTCATCAGCTCAACTGTCTTCTGACCTCCATGCCTGTGAGAAGAGCTGAATCTTAAGAGCTTTCAGAAAGGCCAGCAGGATTGGGCCCAACCTAATTTTGGGTGGGTGGAATGGGGTTTCAAAGAACAGGTACTGCAACAGAAAAGGCACTTCCTGGCTCCCACCAGATGACACTCTTTAATTGACAGGACCAGGAGCACATTCTTCTTGCCAGATCTGATGGGGTGGGTAAAAAAAACCAGAGAGAGGGACTATCCTAGTCCCATCCCACAGAGGGGTTTATATCCAAAGCAGGATTCACAAAGAATATTATGAATTGTAGAAAGAATCCCTTTTAACTCTTCTGTTTCACTGTAAGTCCTAGCATATGGAGAAAAGCAGTGAGGATCTGCATTCAGTAATCTTTGGTCTCATCTCTTGTCATTAGTTAATATCTGAACATTGGAGGCACCAGAAGTCATGACGGACTGGCTGCTAATTGGATTGTTTGTGGCATTGGTGGCACTTCTGCTGCTGACGCTCTTCGGCTTTGCTGTTTATTCGGGACTGTTCACAGAAGTAATTGTGAATGCTGGCTTGCCCCCCATTGGCAATATCACTGTGGCATACAAATTCCAGGTGGGGCCTTATGGTGACTGCGGAAGGCTTTTTACAGAGAGCTGCAGCGTCTCTCCAAGACTCTCCTCCATCGCTGTCTACTACGACAACCCTCACACGGTAGGTCACTCTGAGAGCTACTTTTTGGTTTGTCAGACCTGAATTCATTGCAACATTTAACTATAGATAAAATTGCAGGAGGAGGACCATGTTAGTCTATGGTGGCAAAAAATCAGGTGGAGTCTGGTAGACCTTTTCTGACTAACAAATTTTAAGCTTTAAAATTCATCAGATACATAGAGTGGCTAGGCTGAAAAGATTCTGATTGCAAAGATATGTCTCAGTTCATGATTCAAACAGATGTTCATTGTTACTGTTACTTGTACTTTATCCTCATAACAGCCCTGTGAAGTAGATTAGGATAAGACAGAATGGCTGGGTTACTCATTGAATTAGGGCATAATGTAGTTTGTTTCTAGCATAAAGTTATCCAGATATATTTGTAAATAATCATAAACGTTTTACTGCTTTGTGAACATTTGTGCCACAAATCATAATTAAATAATCCATGGCTTAATGCATTATGTGAACCTAGCCATTATCTAGGCCATAACTGCACTGCATATGTTATGACTGCAGTGTATGGGGGCTATTTGAACCTGGGGTACCCCAGTCCTAATCTGATCCTCTGACCAGAAATGGAGAAGGCCTTTAGATATAGCTGAATGAGAATGCCAGCATTCCTCCCTGTGGCCCATCTAGCTGAGACTGCTGACATTGCAGTTAAGCAGAATGCTATAGATTCTACACCCTGGCTTTAACCATAACCAAACATTGGTACATTGAATTTTGGAAAGAGCATCATGAGTTTCTATGATTCCATGGATGCGGAGAACTTATTATTTGGTCTGTTAGTTTTGTTACAGAATATTTTAATGTTTTGAGAACTGGGGTATTTATTTATTAAGAAATGCAGGTTGGTGGCCCTTGGAAAACTGCAGACAGTGATTAAGATGTTTGAGACTGTAGTCTTTGGCATAGCTTCAAATCTTCTCAGTTTTTTTTCTGTATTTACCTGCAGCTTCCAACTGATCTATATCTCCTTTGCTTGATATGCTAGTCACTGACAGGCATGTGGGAGCTATTTAGGTATTTTATCACCTTCATTCACAAAATCATGAGATTCCAATAAAATGACATGGTGTAATGGTAAAGTAAAGAAGTGGCTGTCAGTTGTTCAGAGATAGATAGTCATCTCACTCTCTGCATGAAGAATGGACAATTTGGAAGAAGTAATCTGACTTGGTCCTACTTCTTAGGGTACTATATAGTAAAATAATGACTGACCTACTAATGATATTGATAATTTTCAAAAACGATATGCTATCAGGTGCTTATTAAAAAACAAAGGGAATATTGGGGATGAAAGTATGTCTCTAAGGTAAAAGATTTGCATTGTGGGACTTGACTTGGTACATAAACACTAAAATAGATGTTTCTCCTAGCAGTGTTTCAAAATATCAATTTATATATCCTTTTTTTTTTTTTTGTAGGGGAAAAGACATGTATCTGCTTTAACTTTGTGTGACTTTGAGGTTCTGTAAAATCTCAGTTAAGGTGGAGTGCAATAGTTGTGCAATATTTTGAATATGATTAAGAAATCAGTCTGAACTGCCAAGAATATGTTGGTGCTTTGGAGCCTCTACAAGTGCTCATTATAGGTGAGGGAATATTAGGTAGTAATAAAAGGCTTCATATGAAATTGTTACCCAATTAATCATCCATCAAATGTTAGAATTGGAGCATAGGCCTTTCCTCCAGAATGCCTCCATCCTCAAATAAGCAGAAAACGTATCAGCCAGGGAGTGTTCCAATATCAACCACAGGGAATAAAGGCTAATGATATGTTTTATATATGGAACTTTAAAAAGAAAGATGTGAGACACATTTGGGAGAAGAAGGTAGAGGTGAAAGGGAGCAAGACTTCTCAGAAAAAAACCACTTATACAATCAATGCCTGCAGTGTTGGCTTCAAAAACTGTGGCACAATTTATCACACTCTCCTTATGAGTATTGTGGGACTGAGCAAAATCTTACACAGCATGGGTGGAAAAATTATAAAAGAAATTGATCAGTAAATGAAGTACTTTAAAGACTTTTTCAACTCTTTAGAGTCTAGTGGGCTCCAGTTAACTCAAGTGTAAAATGGGCACTATTTGTAATATTTTAATGAATAGAAGATAGATGTGAGTACTGAATATGCACAAAACCAATATTGAAGCCCAGATAATTATAAGTAAGGTGTTCACTTTAGTACTATCAAGACAGGATTTAGTTGTTCAAACATTTTCTTTCCATTAAAAATACAACATGATCATTTTTATAGAGCTAGATTTATAATAATAAAATGAAAGAAAACTAAATAATGTGAATTAGATTTCCAAGAACCAGTGTTCAAAATATGGATAATTTAGATGTAAGGATGCCCTGGATTTTAAATAATGGGAAAACTGGAAAAATGTACATGTGCCAAACTGCTATAGTGGGAATATTTACCAGTGGATAATGAATGCAATAATTCAAATTCCCATTCTTTGGGAAAATTAAACAA